CTGCGCTCGGGCCCCGGACTTCAAACCCAGAGCTAGGCCACGCGGCGCCATGCAGCAACGAGAAGTTTTAAAGTACCGGGTCATGACGTGACGTGACGTCACACCCGGGCATCTTCCCCGCCCACCTGCAAACACGCGCATGGCGGCAGCACACACCAACGAGGGGGAGACACACTGAGAGCTGCGCACGTCAGGGACGGTCCGAGGCTGAGGGGGACGCTCTGGGGGCGGGGTGGGAGGACGCGTGGGGGCGGGGCCCACTCCAGGCAGAGCCGGGGAGAGACCCAGCCCCACATAGCGCTGGAGCAGGGCCCCGGCTCTTAACTCGCCGGCACTTCCGGGTGCAGGGGCGCGGGGCCTGATTTCACCAAATGGGTCGAATCTGCCTAAGAGCCAGCAGCCGCCAGGCACGCTGAGGCCTAGCGGCATTTTTTTTCCACGGCCCGGTACCAGACCACGGACCATAGTTTCAGAAACGCTGATGTAGCTCAAGTTGCGTAGCTTATTTTGGCTTTAGTCCTGCTGTGTAGACATGCCCTCAGAGACTAACAAACAAAGGAGACTCCAGCTCATCTGGAGAAGTGGGTTTTGCCCATGGAAGCTCATACTACATATATGGGGAAGGGGAACATGACACACAGATGAGGAAGTTAGTTAAAAAGAATATAAAAGGCACAGTGCTGAAATTGAAATCACTTCAAACTACATGGAATCTTTTTCAAGGCATCATAATAGAGGCTCGGTTAAGTGTATATGTCAAATTAAACGTAAAGAAGCCCAAGGAATGCTCAACATGGGTAAACAGAAAAGTAAAAGAGGAAGCTAGATGCAATTGCAAAAAAAGGACTCCTTTAAAAAGCAGAAGTTAATTTTTTTTTGAAAAAAATTGAAAGGAGCATAAACTCTGGCAAAACAGATTGCAAAAAAGGACTCCTTTAAAAAGCAGAAGTTGAATTCTTTTGAAAAAAATTTAAAGTAGCATAAACTCTGGCAAAACATGGTAAAAATATCATTAGGAAACTCAAATTAGGAAACTCAAAAAGAGCCAAAAGTTGTTTAAGTACCTCTGAAGCAGGAAGCCTACTAAACAGCTGTTGAGACAACTGGATCATGGAGATGCTAAAGGAGCACTCAAGAATGACAAGGCCATTACGGAGAACCACAGTGAATACTTTGCATTGGTCTTCATGGCTGAGGATGTAAGGGAATTCCCAAACCTAAGAAATTCTTTTTAGGTGACCAACCTGTGGAACTCTCTTAGATTGAGGTGTCATTAGAATGCATGGATAACAGTAATAAGTCACTAGACCAGAACATTTACTGATACCACTACTGATCACCATATTCCTAAATGACTTGGCGAAAGTGGATAAGGGTGAGGTGGCAATGGTTGAAGATGATCCAAAACTACTTAAGATGGGTAAGTCCAAAGCAGCCTGCAAAAAGTTCCCAGGGATCCCACAAATGGGTGTGGACTAGGCAACACAATGGCAGATGAAATTCACCATTGAGAAATGCAAAGTGAGGCCCACCAGATAACATAATCTCAATTATACAAATGATGTGATGGGGGTGAAAAATTAGCTGTTATCACTCAGGACAGAGATCGTGGAGTCACTGTGGATAATACTCTGATAATGTGCAATCATTGTATCCTGGCCTATGATACAATTTTATTCGGGAATGAGGAGTGGACCAGAGAATCATTCATGACTAAGGTTAAGATTTTCTTAGCTATTTTTAG